CTGTAGCATCAGCGCCGGTGTCGGGCAGCATCTCGAGACAGGATGACACACTGCCGTAGGTCACGATGACGCTGATGTGCTGGGGAACTTTGATCCTGGGACGAGGGGGAGTACACCTTCCTAATATGGCTCGAGCGTTGTCCAGGGTCGTCATGCCCCTCATTTGACGACTGTGGGCGGCCCTCACTGGTGGAAGGGCGCTGCTGCTTCCGCCGACGCTGTCCCTTGGGTTAGTTGGTCGGGAAACACTTGTCGTAGTGGCCCAGACGACCACACACGTTGCACTGGACGCGTTTGGCTGGCCACCGTACTGTAAGTGACCAGTGGCCCTTACGGTCACAACTGTTGCAGGTAGACTCAGCAGCTGGACACACCTGTGTTCCATGCTGCTAACCACAGTTGTTACAAAAGGCGCCGGGCATGGGCGTAGGCATTGGGGTAGACCTCTTGTCCTTCTTGTACTGGGACATAGCCCGTACAGCTGTAGGGGAAACTCGGATGGCAGAGGTGGCTCTCCTGGCAGCCTTATAGGAACGACATATTGTCAACACATCCTTAAAAGAAGAGGAAGAGTCGAGGGAGGTGAGGCGTTGGACAAGCTCCTCGTCCTGCTTCAACTGGGTCTCCTCGCAATGCTGGTGATTACCGGGACATATGTCAACCTCTTCCGAGGTTCTCTGGAATCGTACATAGAAAGCGTCAAAAGTCTCGCCCTCCATCTGTCTACAGCTAAACAATTCCCTCCTGCGTAGAGCTTCATTCTGCTGATCTTTGATGTGCCGTTGTGGAAAACATCCAGTACCTCCTTTGAAAATGTTCAACCAACTGACAGTCCCTAGCATATCTCGGGGACCAGACGGGGTGACATTACTCCAGATAGGGAAGCACTTCACTCTTGAAGATCGTTACGAGGGACGGACCGTCCAGATATCTGAACGACCTTCTTATAAGACCCAATGGCCTGAGAACTTCAGCCCATTGTCACCATACACACCTAGGTCCTTCTCAAATTCAGTCTCAAATAATGCAGTTTCTTCATCCCATTGGGACATATGATATGCCCCCTTACGGTTGGTACGCCCCAGGTGCATCCTCTTACACTTTGTGACATTGAATGTCAGCAGCCATTTCGACTATTCTTGGAGGAGCTCACAGAGATCCGTCTGCAGCTCTTCACTGCCCGCTTGGTTCTTAATTTCCCGAAATTATTTGGTGTCATCAGCAAACATTTGTATGAAGGAGAGTACAACGTCAGGCATGTCATTTATGAAACAAATAAATAACGACTGGCCTAATACACTGCTCTGTGATACCCCGCTTGTGACAGGTACAGATGATGATTTCGCGCCATTAATCACCACACACTGCTTGCGGTCATGTAGAAAGCCTTCTGTACCAAGTAGTATTGTTATACATGATTGGGGATAATTAGCAGAACTATAGGTATCCCATGTTGAGTATTATAACCATAATTATTGATGTTACCAGTAATAACGTTTGTTATGTGGGTTTTGAGTACATCATTCATATGTACTACCAGCTGAGTCCTACCCATTATTGTTGTGCATGATTGGGGATAACTAGCCGAAATATAGTAATCTTATGTTGAGTAGTGAACCCATAAATATTGATATTTCCAGTAATAACGTTTATGTGGGTTGTGAGTACATCATTCATGTGTACTACCAGCTTAGTTCTAGTAAAAGTCCCATGTTGTTCGTTCCGAAATGACATGAAGTTATAAATAATATGTTAATTTGGGATATTGTCAATTGTGTCAAATAACCATCTGTATTGAACATGAAATAATGTAATGAGTGTTGTAACCAAGAATTGAAGATCTATTTTGCTACTTGTAAAGCAAGACCCAAGGGTCCAGTCCCATCTGAGCAAGTAAAATAACCATCTTATTTGTCAAAGAAATAATATAACAGTTGTTTAATGATGTAACAAGTAAGTTAAAATCTATTTTGTCAATTGTAAAGTTAATCCTAAGGGGTCCTGTTTTGCCTGAGTGTTTTTAATTAACATCTTGATCACTCCTTAAGTTAATAAATATCAAATTAATAAACTACGAGTATTACCGCTCATTTCCTGCTGATAATTGCTCTCTCAAAATAATTACTGTACCTCACGTGCCTAAGCTCGCTCTCACGCTACCTAACAGTTCAATGAGATATGTTATATTGTAATAAAAGTCTGGGTGGTGGCAGGCTACCGTTGTAAGTGTAATAAGTGTTATAGTAAGAATGACATGGTTTTCCCAGACTAATCCACGGTATAGAATATAACTGAGCCATGATAAAAGAATATAGAGAAACCTAAAGTATAATATAGAGAGAAAGATAAATAAAAGAACGTGCACAGTTACACTCTTACTTTGTGTAATGTGTATGTTAAATAAATAAGTTGGACATTATGTAGTAGTGAGGTGAAATGGCATGTAATTAGTGACATGGCATGAACAATGTGTGTATCACTGCTCGACAAGCTCAGCTAGCTATATACATATTAAGTAATTTGATGCCTCGATAACCTATAACCCATATTTGAATCTTACATGAAATAACAATTCTTCATTTACAGTGCATAGCCTTCAAAGAGACGTGCAAGGAAGCGTTTGGCGAACACCTGAACGTAGCTCTCAAGGAGACCTTAGAGTCAGGTTTCTCAATGGGGGCGAGAGACAAGACGACCAAGGCTCTCATTGGCATCCGACTCACTAAAATTACCAGTGTGGACAATGTCTCGAAACAAACTGCAAGTGATGAGGTAAGAAAATATTAAGTAATTTATTTTGCATCAGAATGCTGAGGAAGACATTACAGTTCAACTGTCCACAGCCTAGATATATATAGGCAGATATATATTTAGACTCTTGACAGAATACATCATGAATTCTCTCCAGGGAAATGTTATGAATACACTTTAAGAGAACACTTGAGTTACGTGCTCACCCCTGCGAAAGTGGTAACGATTTGTCACTCCCTCCAAGCGTGTCTCCTCCGAGCGTGAGGGAAGAGAGGACTAAGCGTGGGAGAGGATATGACGGGTACCTAGTGACAGCACTAGGATCCCGCTTCCTCTATCAAGGAAAAAACAATTGAAATTGAATTGAAATTGAGGATATGACGAGGCATGAAAGCGAGCAAACTGTATTGATTCATCAGCTGATCTGCGCTCGACTTCAGTGATACAAGAAAGCCGTTAATAATCGTCAATAACAGAGTCCTTGTTGAAGAACTCGGGGAATAAGTTGGGTGTTATTCATGTGGGTGAATATTTATATAAAGCAAAGGAGCTACATTATTACATATATTATCAATAGATAAATTGATTTTTCATGCTGTTATTTCTTGAAGTATTTCTATTTATCTTTAATAAGACAGTAACTTTAAATTTATGTCAACCCAACCCACAGTTAATGATATATATATATATATATATATATATATATATATATATATATATATATATATATATATATATATATATATATATATATATAATGTGTGTGTGTATGTGTGTGTGTGTGCAGGGTGCTTCAGCAAAAAGTACATTAAATTGGAGGATGAAATCCTTGGATAATTCGGAACCACAAAGTCTCTATGGTAAAATGTCAAGTTCTCCATAGTTTCCATGTTACAATACATTTAAGATGTTGTATTAATGAGAGTGAATTTGATGTGAAACTCCCTCCCCCCTGTAACTGCCTTTATCTCATTCGGTCATACATGGTCCCTGCCTCATGGCACCTGTGTCAGCCATCTGTATCACACTGTACGGCTGTATATAAGACATCTGTGTATAAATGATTACAAAAAGCTTACATAATGACGCATAATTACTAATATTGATACTAATTACAATAATCAAAGCTTTTTTCAAGTCATTACTTTTAGCTTGGAATTTAATCTAAAGGAAACGGGACACAATGTAAACTAAATACAATGGGTAACTGAAACAAATATTGAGGGAAAATGGGACGTGACCGGAACATTTTATATAAATATTATACAGATGTTTGAAGTGTAGTTGTACATAAACATTATATAGATGTTTGAAGTGTAGTTGTAAAGAAACATTATACAGATGTTTGAAGTGTAGTTGCAAAGAAACATTTTACAGATGTTTGAAGTGTAGTTGTAAAGAAACATTATACAGATGTTTGAAGTGTAGTTGTAAAGAAACATTATACAGATGTTTGAAGTGTAGTTGTAAAGAAACATTTTACAGATGTTTGAAGTGTAGTTGTAAAGAAACATTATACAGATGTTTGAAGTGTAGTTGTAAAGAAACATTATACAGATGTTTGAAGTGTAGTTGCAAAGAAACATTATACACATGTCTGAAGTGTAGTTGTAAAGAAACATTATACAGATGTTTGAAGTGTAGTTGTAAATAAACATTATATAGATTTTTTAAGTGTAGTTGTAAAGAAACATTATACAGTTGTTTGAAGTGTTGTTGTACATAAACATAATATAGATGTTTGAAGTGTGGTTGCAATGAAACATTATATAGATGTTTGAAGTGTAGTTGTACATAAACATTATACAGATGTTTGAAGTGTAGTTGTACATAAACATTATATAGATGTTTGAAGTGTAGTTGTAAGGAAACATTATACAGATGTTTGAAGTGTAGTTGTAAAGAAACATTATATAGATGTTTGAAGTGTAGTTGTACATAAACATTATATAGATGTTTGAAGTGTAGTTGTACATAAACATTATACAGATATTTGAAGTGTAGTTGTACATAAACATTATATAGATGTTTGAAGTGTAGTTGTAAGGAAACATTATTCAGATGTGTGATGTGTAGTTGTAAAGAAACATTATACAGATGTTTGAAGTGAAGTTGTACATAAACATTATACAGATGTTTGAAGTGTAGTTGTACATAAACATTATACAGATATTTGAAGTGTAGTTGTACATAAACATTATATAGATGTTTGAAGTGTAGTTGTAAGGAAACATTATACAGATGTGTGATGTGTAGTTGTAAAGAAACATTATACAGATGTTTGAAGTGTAGTTGTACATGAACATTATATAGATGTTTGAAGTGTAGTTGTAAAGAAACATTATACAGATGTTTGAAGTGTAGTTGTAAAGAATCATTATACAGATGTTTGAAGTGTAGTTGTACATAAACATTATACAGATGTTTGAAGTGTGGTTGTAGAGAAACATTATACAGATGTTTGAAGTGTAGTTGTAAAGAAACATTATATTGATGTTTGAAGTGTAGTTGTACATAAACATTATACAGATGTTTGAAGTGTGGTTGTACATAAACATTATACAGATATTTGAAGTGTAGTTGTACATAAACATTATATAGATGTTTGAAGTGTAGTTGTAAAGAAACATTATACAGATGTTTGAAGTGTAGTTGTACATAAACATTATATAGATGTTTGAAGTGTATTTGTAGAGAAACATTATACAGATGTTTGAAGTGTAGTTGTAAAGAAACATTATATAGATGTTTGAAGTGTAGTTGTACATAAACATTATATAGATGTTTGAACTGTAGTAGTAAATAAACATTATATAGATGTTTGAAGTGTAGTTGAAAAGAAACCTTTTACAGATGTTTGAAGTGTAGTTGTACATAATCATTATACAGATGTTTGAAGTGTAGTTGGAAAGAAACATTATATAGACGTTTGAAGTGTAGTTGTACATAAACATTATACATATTTTTGAAATGTAGTTGTAAAGAAACATTATACAGATGTTTGAAGTGTAGTTGTACATAACATTATGATGATATTTTGAGGACTAATTTTTTTCAGGCGAAACTGACTGAAAATAACTTGTACCGTGTACTGGCGATGCTCTCTCCAGATGAAGATGTGTTTCGAGGCGTCTCCAGTTTCCTTTACATGTTCGCGCTAGCTGTCCATCGTGACTACTGTGGGCACGGTCTCGCAAGCAGGCTGGTGAAGGTAATTAGTCTTTAGAAATCAAGTTTAGAAATAATTGTATGTTGAAGCTCACAACTTTTGTTCAGTGATAAGAAATGTGTCTCCATCCACGGCTTTTCACTAAACATTTCTACCTACACAGGTCCCAGGCCAAAATTCATTCCAGAGTTCTCTTGCACCCATATTATATCATGCGTTGTAATCTTATTTGGTGCCACTGATCGGTTAGTGTCGACTGGAAATAACCTCCCATCACTGAACTGCCACCCCCGCTTAGTAGGGGACAACTTCTGTAAGAGTGGTATTTGGCAGCAGCTGAAGTTGGGCGCAAGCTTTCCAGTTGGAACCCTGCTGCGGAGACCGAGGTTCTGCTGACAGGAGGTAACGATAATTGTCTTTTCAGTAAAAATATTACAGTTCACCCACACACGTAACTCATCATGAGTAAAGTCCAGTTGAGGAAATGTATTCAACACTCTTCAGCCAATGCGTTCTTTTTACCAACGTTATAAGAACATAAGAACATAAGAAAATAAGGAGTCTGCAATAGGCCGGTTGGCCTGTGCATGGCAGCTCCTGTCGAGAGTTCCTACCACTCTCTATCATCCATGAATCTATCTAGCCTTCTTTTGAAACTTTCCAGAGTTCCCGCACTTACTACAAAGTTGCTATGCTTGTTCCACTCGTCCACCACCCTATTTGTGAACCAGTTTCTTCCTATCTCCCTCCTAAACCTAAACTTATCCAACTTGAATCCGTTGCTCCGAGTCCTATCCTGCTCGGATATTATAAGAACTTTATCTATATCCCCTTTATTGATTCCTTTCACCCACTTAAATACTTCTATCATATCTCCCCGCACTCTTCGTCTTTCTAGGGAATGCAAGTTAAGTTTCTTTAACCTATCCTGATATGGAAGGTTTTTAAGTCCCGGAATCATTTTTGTCATTCTTCGCTGCACGGACTCTAGTGAATGTATATCCATTCTATAATAGGGGCACCAGAACTGAACCGCATAATCGAGGTGCGGCTTGACTAGAGCAAGATATAGTTGCAATAAAACCTCTGTGTATAGATATGTAAATACCAAGATATGTGAACACGCTTGACGGCAAGACTCTGTTAACATTCATTGTACTATTTATTCACATGTCTGTATTACTACATATTATTATAGCTTGTCTGATATCTATGCTTATGTCTAATGCCTATGTTCACTTACTTTGTCCCGATGTATTATGTCTGTACCGCGCTAGTCAAGTAACTAGAAGGTCTCATTTATTGTCCTAAGTAATGTCTAGCAACTCTCCCTGCCTAGCTAGCTAACTTCCCTCAGATCGGCTTCGGCCTGCCTACGACACGGAGTCCCTTGTGCTCGCTCCTGCTTCTGTATCGGTCGGCTATCCTGCCAAGTCTTGTACTACTATTTGGATATATCTACTGCCCGTGCATCTGGAGTTTGAAGAACCTTGTCTAGGATATACATCCCACCACATGGCGCAGTTGAGTAGCTCCAACACGACAGTTGACAAGTCTCAAGAGCCGGCCTCGTCTGTTTCCCGCCCAGAAGATGTATTCTACAGTGCCCCTGGATTAAAAGTGCTTTGTGACCTTGTGAAGTGCAGTGCCTTTGATGTCTGTTTTGCTATGTTTCTGGGGCCCTACAGGTAGCAGAAACCCTTTCAGCCCAGTTTTCAAGAGAGCACTTCAAGCATAAATCCTCCGTCTGTGCCGGCCCGCAAGCCACTGGCCCACTGCCTTCCCCTCGACTGAATCATCACCGACATCTCGCCCGGGCGCGCGGAGTAATTGAGAGACCAGTATCACCGCCGCCAATACTCTTTTACTTGCCCGCCAGTTCCTGCACTTAGGCAAGTACATTGACGAAAACATAGCAATTCACCTTATTCTCCTTGTCTTTCCCATCGCAACCATACCAAACACGAGATGTCCGACTACGACGATTTGCTGGGGAATTCAAATGAGGCTTATGAGGAAGACGAAGCCTCACAGACCCTCCCACCCCCCGTCACGCCTCACACGCCGGGCGCGCCAAATTCAAAGGACGGGAGCCAGGATATACGTCAATTAATTCACTTCCTACAAGTTTCCCAATTAGAGGAGGAAAAACTACGTCAAGAGGAATTGTCAAGACAGTCAGAGGAATCAGCTACCGTCTTCAACTCCAACAACAACACCAAGCTGATAACCGCAAATTCCTGGAACTATTTGAATTGCTGGCAACGAGGACGACTTCACCAGCTGCCACAACCAATTCGCCAGCTTCAGCCTCTTCATCTACCCTTCAGACAACGCCTCCTCACACGTCACCTATCCTTCTTGGGTATGCCTCAGTGCCTTCTCAACCACCATCTGCTCCAGTCTCAACTCTCGTCGACCTCTCCGTGCCTCCTCCATTACCTGCCGTCTCGAGTACACCCCTGCACAGCAAGTCTTCAGTTTCCAGCCCCCCACCTCTTCAATCTGATGCAACATATCAAGTATACCGTCAATGGCGACGTCATTTCGAAGACTTTGCTGTTATGTCTGACCTCAACCGAATGCCCCCTCATAAACAACTCATCCAATTAAGATCGTGCATTTCCCTCGATGTTCAACGCCTCCTAGAGCACTCGAGCCATTCCCCCTGCCTCCCCCATGTCAGTGACAGAGGTTTTAAACGCCTTGCAGAGTCATTTCCGAGGCCTCCGCAATGAAGCTTTGCGTCGTAGGGAACTGCTATCCTGCAAACAAGCTTCTGGGGAATCATTCTCAGACTTCTACGCACGACTTAAGGACCTAGCGGCTGAGGTGGACCTATGTACAGGCGATCCTGTAACCTGTGCTGAGATCCAGCTCAAGATGATCTTGCTGATGGGTGTATGTGACGAGGACCTGCTTCAGAAACTCCTCACCCTCGACGCCGCCTCTTCCCTCACAGACTTCGTCACCTGTTGCAGGTCGTATGAGGCCACAAGAGAGGCTGCCTCAGCTATACACTCATCGCCGTCTCAAGTTCACGCCGTCTCCACCTACAAGACGAATCAACGCCAGATGCAGACGGCGTCCTCTCCACAGCCCCCGTCACAGTCACAAGTTTCTTCTCCCGAATCCTGCAGAAACTGTCAGCGCCAGCACGGTCCAGGAAAGTGCCCTGCGGCTGATAGTAAATGTCGAAACTGCGGGTTTCAAGACCATTGGCCCCGCACAACTCGATGTCCTGCCAACAAGGTCTCATGCAACGCCTGCAACAAGCAAGGACACTTCGCCAAGTGTTGCAGGTCCACCAAGAAGCCTCCATCTCCAGGTCAAAACGTCCCTTCACAGCCCGACAGAACGTCCACACCACCGTCTCCCAAGAACAACAAAGGATGCCGACGCGTGGATGATGCCTCGAGTGACAGGTCCCCCAAGCCCGTCAACGTTCGTCTGTCCTACGGTGGCAACTCTTCCAACCTCCTGATGATACCTGACACGGGCGCGGACGTCACGGTGATTGGACCAACACACCTGGACGCCCTCAACATTCCCAGGAGTAACCTGTCACCCACAGCCATGAACGACGTGCTCACAGCGGACGGGTCCCCGATGTCTCCACCTTTGGGTTGCTTCAAGGCAACACTACAGCTCGGTCCCAAGTCTTGCCTTGCCACAGTCCACGTCCATGAGGGCATCCAAACCACTCTCTTGTCATGTGGCCATTGTCAGGACTTGGCCATCGTCTCATCCGAGTTCCCAAAGCCCATCCTCGCCGTGACACACCTCAACAGGTGTGCAGAGATACCTGTTTCAGCCATGACCACACCTGCTGCCGCCCGGGAGTTTTTTCTTCGTCAGTTCAGCGACGTCCTTGTCTCCAAGTCCGACCTCCAGAAGATGCCGCTCAAGAAGATGACAGGCCCCCCGATGAGAATCCACCTCAAGCCTGGCGCGACGCCTTTCGCCACCCACACACCCAGACCTATCCCCTTTGCCCTACGGGACAAGGTGAAGGCGGAGCTCGATTCTCTGGTGCAGCAGGGGATCATCAGACACGCCGGTGAGGAGCCCCCCGAGTGGTGCCACCCTATGGTCTTGGCACCCAAGCCTGTAGGTGTTCGCATCACAGTGGACCTCACCCATCTCAACTCGCAGGTCTCCCGTCCCGCCCACCCATCGCCTACGCCCATTCAAGCAGTCCGCAGCGTCACCCCGTCTGCAAAGTTCTTTACCACGGCGGATGTACTACATGGGTACTGGCAAGTCGACCTGGCGGAAGAAGATCGCCACCTCACTACATTCATCACGCCCCACGGCCGCTTCCAACACTGCCGTGGACCCATGGGCTTCGTAGCAACGGGGGATGCGTATTGCCTCCGTGGGGATATGGCTCTGCAGGGTGTCACTAACTGCGTGAAAGTCGTAGATGACATCCTGCTCTTCGACGATGATCTCCCGGCCCACTTGAACCGAGTTCATCTGATGCTCATAAGATGTCGTGCCCATGGTATCACCCTGAACAAAGATAAATTTGTGGTCGCCGCCTCCCAAGTTAACTACTGCGGCTACAACATCTCGCCAGAGGGGATCTCAGCTGATGAGGAGAAGGTCAAGGCCATCAGGGACTTCCCTACTCCAGCGAACCTGACCGACCTTCGCTCGTTTATGGGCCTGGTAAATCAGCTGGCCGACTTCTCCCCTAAAATCGCCACATCAGCCCAACCTCTTCGCCCCCTCATGAGCCCCAAGCGCTCTTTCCTCTGGACTCCTGACCACGACCTAGAGTTCAGGAATGTTAAGAAGGCATTGCTGTCACCACCAGTCTTGGCACCCTTCGACCCGTTCTTACCAGTGGTCCTCCAGACCGACGCCTCCCGTCTATACGGCCTCGGATATGCCCTCCTTCAAGATCACGGCCAGGGTAGACTGCGCTTAGTTCAGTGTGGCTCCAGGTTTTTGATCGACACGGAGACCAGATACACCACCATCGAACTAGAGATGCTGGCAGTCGCCTGGGCTATGGCCAAGTGCCGCCTTTACCT